ATCACAATAGTAAAAAATGTTTATCAGTTTTCACAATCAATAGCCAGACCAAAAAAAAAAGATAGTTACAATTGCAAGCCATAATGGGAACATGGTCAACCTCACAAGATAATTACATACAATTTGGAGGGTCAAGCAGAGTGATGTGGCAAGTTAAGTGCATACATAAATCCACCCAGCCAGCCTGTCTTTTGGTTGGTGCATTTGATCCATTTACAGTCCATCCTAAAGGAGATCAGTCCTGGGTGTTCATTGGTAGGACTGATTTTGAAGCTGCAACTCCAATACTTTGGCAACCTGATGCGAAGAGCTGACTCATTTGAAAAGACCCTGATGCTGGGAAAGATTGAGGGCAGGAGAAGGGGATGACAGAGGATGAGATGGTTGGATGACATCACTGAATCAATGGACATGGGTTTGGGTGGACTCGGGGAGTTGGTGATGGACAGGGAGGACTGGCATGCTGCTGTTCATGGGGTTGCAAAGAGTTGGACACAACTGAGCGACTGAACTGAACAATTAAGGTAATTATTGATATGTATGATTCTATTACCATTTTAATTGGTTTGGGTTTATTTTCTGCAGGTCTTTTCCTTCTCTTGTGTTTCCTACCTAGAGAAGTTTCTTTAGCATTTGTTGTAAAGCTGGTTTGGTGGTGCTGAATTCTCTTAATTTTTGCTTGTCTGCAAAGCTTCTGATTTCTCCATCAAATGTGAAGGAGAATCTTCCTGGGCAGAGTGTTCTTGGTTGTATATTCCTCCCTTTCATCACTTTAAATATATCATGCCATTCCCTTCTGGCTTGTAGAGTTTCTGTTGAGAAATCAGCTGATAGCCTGATGGGTGTTCCCTTATATGTTGTTATTTTTCTCTTGCTGATTTTAATATTTTATCTTTGTCTTTAATGTTTATGCTTGATTACTATGTGTCTTGGTGTGTTCCTCCTTGGGTTTATCCTGCTTGGGACTCTCTGTGCTTCCTGGACTTGGTTGACTATTTTCTTTCCCATGTCAGGGAAGTTTTCAGCTATTATCTCTTCAAGTATTTTCTCAGGTCCTTTCTCTCTTTTCTCCTTCTTCTGGGACCCATACAATGTGAATATTGGTACATTTAATGTTGTCCCAGAGGTCTCTTATGCTGTCTTCATTTCTCTTCATTCTTTTTTATATATTCTGTTCTGCAGCAGTGATTTCCACCAGTCTGTCCTCCGAGTCATTCATCTGTTCTTCTGCCTCTATTATTCTGCTATTGATTCCTTCTAGTGTATTATTCATCTCTGTTCTTTAGTTCTTGCAGGTCTTTGGTAAATGTATCTTGCATCTTCTCCATTGTTTTCCCAAGATCCTGGATCATCTTCACTATCATTATTCTGAATTCTTTTTCTGGAAGGTTAACTATCTCCACTTCATTTAGTTGTTTTTCTGAGGTTTTATCTTGTCCCTTCTTCTGTGACATAACTTTCTGCTTTTTCATCATGATAGATTTTCTGTAATAGGGTTTTTGTTTTAGCCACTGTGGGACTGTGCTTCTTCTTGCTTCTTCTGCCTGCCCTCTGATGGATGAAGATAAGAGGCTTGTGCAAGCTTCCCAAGGACTGGCTGGGGGTAAAACTGGGTTTTGCTCTGGTGAGCAAGGCCTTGCTCAGTAAAACTTTAATCCAATTATCTGCTGATGGGTGGGGTTGCACTCCCTTCTTGCTGGGGTCTATGATAGAGTTAATGGTGACCCCCAAGAGGGTTTATACCAAGGGGGACCTTCCTGGCTGCTGCTGCCAGTGTCCCTGTCCCTGTGGTGAGCCCCTGCCAACCCACACCACCACAGGAGACTCTCCAACACTAGCAGGTAGTTCTGGTTCGGTCGCCTGTGGGGTCACTGCTCATTTTCTCTGGGTCTTCAGTTCAGTTCAGTCTCTCAGTCATGTCCAACTCTTTGAGATCGCACGGACTGCAGCACTCCAGGCTTCCCCGTCCTTCACCAACTCTCAGAGCTTGCTCAAACTCATGCCCATGGAGTTGGTGATGCCATTCAATCATCTCATCCTCTGTCCTCCCCTTCTCCTCCTGCCTTCAATCTTTCTGTGTCTTGGTGTGCACAAGATTTTGTTTGTGCCCTCCAAGACTGGAGTCTCTGTTTCCCCCAGTCCTGTGGAAGTCCTATAATCAAATTCCACTGGACTTCAAGGCCAGATTCCCAGGGGATTCCCAGTCTCTCTGTCAGATACCCAGGCTAGAAAGCCTGACATGGGGTTCAGAACTTTCACAATGAAATGGGGACCCAAGTTCTTGTTCATGGAGTCAAAGAACAGAATCCACGAACCTACAAACACTCACAGTAGCAAGTGAACAGGATTTATTAAAGAGGAGGACAGTACAAAGCTCTCAGCATAGACACTGAGAGGGGGTAAAGGGTCCCTTAGAAGGTGGGGATTACAGTAGTTTTTTATTTTTACCAGTATTAATTTGTACATTTTGGGTTGGCTCTGGCTCCTGTCCTTAAAATACATCATTTTTAACCAATCAGTTTAAAGTTCAAGATGCTTAACATCTTTATGGCTTCTCGATCCTCAGATTAAGTCAACACCCTTTTTCATGTCCCTTGGCCATTTTACAATGGACCAGATGTATGGACTTAAGATTATTGATCACCACATTATTTTTCCCTCCAACATATAGAACAGAAGTTAATTACTGCTCTTCCCTGGATCTAATGGGCTTCCCTCATAGCTCAGTTGGTAAAGAATCTGCCTGCAATGCAGGCAACCCGGGTTCGATCCCTGGATTGGGAAGATCCCCTGGAGAAAGGAATGGCAACCCACTCCAGTATTCTTGTCTGGAGAATTCCACGGAGAGGGAAGCCTGGTAGGCTACAGTCCATGTGGTTGCAGAATCAGACAGGACTAAGCGACTAACACTTTCACTCACTCAAGTTTACTTAAGAAACAACCAATACAAGAGACACACACTGTCTCCCTGAGAGTAGGAAATAAGTCTCCCCTGTAAAAGGGGCAACCCTGCACCTGGAGGCAGAAGGATTCTTATCACCAAAGATGGGGAATTTGGGGACATGAAGCTTATATAAGCAAACCTTTCTACTTCTTTAACTGGGCACCCCACACTTAAGTCTATCAATTCCTCACAAAATCACAGCTTGTCTCAAAAAATAAAAGCTGCCTGCTTTCCCCACTTCTTGCTGTGCTTACTTGCTCAGTTGTATCTGACTCTTCTGCAACCCCGTGAGCTGCAGCCTGCCAGGCTCCTCTGTCCATGGAATTCTTCTGGCAAGAATACTGGAGTAGGTTGCCATTCCTTTCTCCAGGGGATCTTCCCATCCCAGGGATCAAACTGCAGTCTCCTGCATTGCAAGCAGATTCTTTACCCTCTGAGCCAGCAGGGAAGCCCTTGCCCACCTCTTAGGTCCCATTTCTATGGGACCTCCATGTGCATGAATTAGTTAAGTTTCTTCTTTTCCTGGTAATCTACCTTGAGTCAGTTTTACTATTAGTCCAGCCACCAGAATCCAAGAGGGTTGAGGGCTTATTTCACCTCCCATAAAGTACAAATAGGATCAGATCCCCCGCTATGACACCCAACCAAAAAGGCAGTTCTCAAACTGTGTTCAGAGGGAACCGAGTCCTCCTCGCAACTGCTTTGAGGCCTACACAAGTATCTGATTTATTACTGTTACCTTCACTCTCAAATGTGCTCCATGACAAATTTTAACACAGTAAACACTGCCAAAGCATTTCTGCCAGGATAAAACTCATTTTTGTGCAGGCTTCTTCCCAAGATAAAACTTTTTGTGGCATTCTGTTTATGAACTTGAGACTACAGACCTGGGTGGACAAATAAACCAGGTGTGCGTTTGCCCCAAATGCAAAACGATACCTGCAGGACACTTTCTGCAGGACTGTCAGTAAAGGCGAGACCGGCTCATCCTATGGGCCCATCAACAGGGGCGGAGCTCTGGGGAGCCATCAAAGTAGTCAGGACTGCGACCACAGTCCTATGGAGCCATCTGTGGGATGGACCGTTAAGTGAAAAAAGACAACGAGGAAACAGTGGGTAAAAAGGAGGTGCCTCAAAAAAAAAAAAAAAAAAAACAGAATGAACTAGGAGCACCGGAGGTGGGTAGCTCTGGGGGAAAGGACCCAGCGTCCACGCAGATCTCTAACTCTCCTCGGCCCCCAGCCGGGCCCCTCCCCGCAGCGGCCCCTGCATTTGGCTTCTCCGCGGTCTTCAGGGTTTCCGTGCCGGGCATTGCTGGACGTCCCTAAACCGGTCCTAAGCCCGACACCCCTAACCCCCCACTCCGCACCGCTCTGTCTTGCGGGCCAGTGAGCCCGGCCCAAAGACGTGCGCTCTGCCTTCCCGGCATCGGAGCCTCTCCAAACCCGCCGGACTTTCCCAGGGCCGGGCCCAGGCGGCGCACCTCCGGACCGGGGAGCCGGGGAGCTCCGACTCAGCTCCCAGAACAAGAGGAAGCTGAAGAACGCGTCTTCCCGGAGGAAGGGTTCGGTGGTGATCCCCCAGGGAAAGTGCGGGGAGGGGGGTCTCGCCCCGCTTACAGCCCGCGGAAACCCTCACGCGGGACAGGCGCGCTCAGGGACCGGGCCCAGGGACTGCGTGGAAAAGCCCCTCGGCGGCTGCCTCCTCCGAAGCCGCACTTTGAGCGCTTGGCTTCTCTGGGCACTGCGGAACGCCAGTGGAGGTCGCGGGGCCCCAGCCGAGGGCGCTAGGAGCGTTGGTGCGGGCCCGGAGAACGTAAAGAGAGCCGGGAGGTGGCGCTGGCGGGCGGCGCGCCGGCTCCACTACAGCCAGGGGAGCGCCTCCCGCGCGCGCCAAGCCCCGCCCATGCGCAGACAACGCCTCTCCTGATTGGGCAGCGCCGCCACGCTGGTAGGGCGGAACGAGCGTCGTCGCGTCCGGGTGACGTCTCGGGCGGGCGTCGGGCGGGGTCGTCGGCGTCGGCAGCGGTGGCGGCGGTGGAGGCGGCGGGTGGGAAATGGCGGAGTACTTGGCCTCCATCTTCGGCACCGAGAAAGACAAGTAAGTGAGATCCGGCCGCAGGGGTTCCGGGCTGGGGAGGCGGGTGGCGCGCGGAGGAGCTTGGCGGCGGGGCCCGGGCGGCATCGGGAGCCCCGGCGGGGGGAGGGGCGGGCTGCCCTTCCGGCCTCGGGAGCCGCGCGCCGCCGCGTGCGCCCGGGCAGGCGGGCAATGGGCCGGGCGGGCGCCGGGCTTCCGCTCGGGCAGAGCGGCTTCTCCCGCCGGGGCTCCTCGGCTGCCCACCTACAGGCGACCCGTGCCCCCGGCTCTCGGAAGCCGACTCGAGTTGTGCTGAAGTTGTCAACGTTAACGATTCTCCCAAGTTTGATCTTTTGATGTCGAGTCGGGCAAGCTGTAGTGTAGACTCGCCCGCGTTAAATCGTTAGATAATTGAGGTTCCTGTTAGGGTTTTAGGTGCTTAACAAACCTCTTGTATGAGTTAAGCGATCATCGATTAGATCATAAGGACATTTGTTGTGAAACAGTATTTTGGAGATGACTTGTTAACTAACCGTGAAAGACAGTCTGCTTTTAAAATACTTTCAGGTGCAATTCCAATATAAGAATAAGATGGGTGAGTTTTTAGGTTGCATACCTTCCGTAGTCAGTTGTTAGGTTGAGAGTAAAAAATATAATTTTGGCTTTGCCAGGTGTTAATTTGGGAGGATACTACTTGTAAACCTTAAGATTGAGCTGGATGTATTCTTCCAATAAATGGTTAGCATCTTGGTGTTCTTCAGGGCTATACAGGGTCTGTATAACAGTAAACTCATAAATTTGCATAGCTAATGTTTTGATACAACTTTACAAAAAACTTTAAATTGTTTCTGTTTTCCAGGATGCAGTGTATCTTGTAAAATGTCTTCTTTTACACATTCTAGACTCTCCTGTGTTGTTTGGAAGAGGGGGTTATGTTTTTTCCTAGCAAAACTCACAAGACAGTCATCAGTCATATTCACCCCAGAAACACTTACTGGGTGTCAGCTCAAGGCCAGTGTCTGGGGACTCAGAAATGGGTAAAATTTGGATCTTTTTCTCAAGGAGCAAGGGGGTGCTTGTCATGCAAAGGATAACTGAGTTAAAATGAATTGAAATGCATTAAGTGCTGTGGAAGAGAGGCATGCCCTGAATGCTGTGGCCCCAGAGGCAGCAGCTTGGGAAACAGGGTCTTGAACAGATCAGCCAGCTCTGCTGGACAAAGAGGCTTCTCAGGTTTGCTGAAGGGCAAGCAGTGTCGATTTTACTCATGAGCTTATATCAGTGTGGGCCGTGACTTACGTCTCACAGACTTTTTCAGAGTTTTTCTTTCCCTCGTTCTTGTAAAAAGCTGCATGAGGTGATGTCCTCATTGTTATTCTGTGACGACAGAGGTTTTTTCCTGCCGTAAATAACTCCATTTCATATGTTAGAGTTGTATTATAAAAGTCACAGCTGTAATTTAGGAAACTTGATTATTTAATCTAGGCTTCTTGTTTCAGGGAGATTTGTGGAGTTTTAATTTCCAGGAAACAGCTCAAAATTTTCAGCTGAAAAATAATTCCTGCTAACTTTTTTTTTTTTTAATTTGAACTGAAAGTAAAATGTACATCTAGCAATTAAAAATATTTAGCCAATTACACGTTTGAGGTTTTAGACATGTTCTAAATCTAAGAATGGATTAACCTTTCTAATATCTTCTCTCAAATAGTACACCATGTCTTTATTTTAATATCTTTCCATTGTATTGCAGTAGTCCAATGAGCCTACTGGAAAAGTTTTGACTAATAGATTAAATTCAGTGATTAACTGTCCATAGTGAAATGAGAGTCATTTCTGATAGTGCAGCAGCGGGGATTGTTTTAATTATATGGAGTAGTTGGGTGGTAATGGTTGAGACAGGGGTTTTTGTCAATTCTGAGATAGTCAAACTATTTTCAAGTGACTTTCTCAAGATGTAACATGACGTACTCAAGTGTATGTAGTAATCATTTTTCTCTCCTCATAAATTTAGACTTTTCCATTTTTATTGCTACCTGATAATAAATAAATGGCTAGTTGATTTCATGGGCCATCAAATTTCACTGAGGCCCTTTAATCTTAACTGAATGTGAAAGTTGCTCAGTTGTGCCCGACAGTGGGTAGCCCTTCCCTTCTCCAGGCGATCTTCCCAACCCAGGGATTGAACCCAGGTCTCCCGCGTTGGCAACTGTGAATGGCCCTTGCTAAAATAATTGCATGTACAGGGTAACTTTCCCACCTCTGCAAGTCTGAATTTTAATGGGACACATCTAGTAAGGTTGCATAACTCACCACAGATCTGCTCAGCCACCATGCATTGCTGTCATGGTGGCTGGATTGCTAGTTTTGGTTTTATCCGCATCGTCCAAGTATTGGAGCATGTTGAGAGACAACCTTGTGTAGTTCTTACAGGCAGAGTGGGTGCCCCAGTAGCTTATTCTCAGTGTATTGAAACTGGGGAGGATTGTTTACTTCAGACCTCTTTTTGGAAATCTTCTGTTGGTCTGGTGTCTTGGGTGGGGGAACCTGGACTCTGTATTTATTGAGATGATAGTGACTGCATGTGATGAGCACACAGTATACTCAATTCTGGCTCTTGGAACAGTGCCAGGGTTGGCATTTTCCTCAGTTTACAGAGACCCGGACAGGTGGGGGTGACTGGCCCAAACCCAAGCTACTAGTAGCAGAGTCAAGGTCCTGCCCCCTAACCAGACTGCTGGTGTCTTGAAGAGAGGAGTTCATCATGGAAGGAAAAGGAGCAGATAGGTTTTGAGCTAAATATAGTTTTAGACTAACTTACATTCAGTTTAAGAGAAAACAGTGGAGCAGGGAAGTATTGCATATAATTGAACCTTTGAACCACACGGGGGTTGGGGTGCCAGCCCTCTGCACAGTCAGTAATCCAATCCCAGTTTGTTTAACCTCCAGGCAGCCCTCCGTGTCTGCTGCTCTGAATCCTGCATTCGTCCAACCATGGGTCCTGTAGTACTGCAGGACTTAATACCTGAAAAGTCTGAACGGAAGTTGTTTAAGGATCAGGCATACTTGAAAGTGAAGGGGGTTTGAATGAGGAGGAAATCAGGTTAGAATAGAGTGCCATGTTTGAAGAGGGGCAAATTGAAGCTAAGTAAACCAGCGCTTGCCGGGGTACGGCAGTGGTAAAGAATCTGCCTGCATGCAGGAGACGCAAGGTTTGTTCCCTGGGTCAGGAAGCTCTTCTGGAGGAGGGCATGGCAGCCCCCTCCAGCATTCTTGCCTGGAGAATTCCATGGACAGGAGTGTGGCAGGCTGCCGTCCATGGGATTGCAAAGAGGTGGACACAACTGATCAGGTGGGCAGGCAGACCTAAAATACAAGAAAGTACTTATTACCAAAAAAAAACAACGTGCCTAGGTCTTTGTGAAGTAAAAGAAAATTAGTGTGGTGGCATTTGTCGTGTTGATGACATATTTCCATCTATTTGATGTCTTTCCAGCAAAATAATCAGTTCTTGTTTTCCCTTACAGAGTCAACTGTTCATTTTATTTCAAAATTGGAGCATGTCGTCATGGAGACAGATGCTCTCGGTTGCACAATAAACCGACCTTTAGCCAGGTTTGTTTGTTTTTCCTTTTTTTTCTGTTTTCATGTAAATTATCAAGACTTCATGTACTTTACAGAGGCAGTTGGTAATTTCCATGTGTTAATAAGCAGGGTTTTTTTCCTCTAGTTTTATTTTTCTATTTGTGTTCATAAATGTGTTTCGTTTAAATGAGAATGAGGCAGGTGAACCACCGCAGCAGAAGGTCTGAGAGCACCATTCCCTGTTTTTATCAGTAGAGAAGCTTGTTGGCTGTGACTGGTTTTCACTGCCTTCCCACCATCCCTGCCTCTAATAGACGTGGGTCGGGAGGGGCAGCCAGGCCAGCGCTGACCTTGCCTCTTCTCCAGGCTGATAGATGTAGAGGTGGGCGGGGGCCCCCCTGGAGGAGACTGCCAAGCTCTGCACAGAGGGGCTGTCCAGTACTACTGGGCATGTCCCCTTAAGACCCCAGCCAAGGACACAGCCAATGGTATCATGTTATAAAAACATGAAAAATGAAAGTTAACCTTGGAAGGTGGGCACTTCCCTTCAGGTTAATGGCCAGTCTGTTCAGTTAATTGGGAGAAGCCAGTTAATTGAAAGATTGGGCTTAGCTCTATTGGAAGTTTAGTCAAAAATTATGATTTTTGGTAGTTTCTTTTTGGCTAATTGAAGAAAAGGCAGGGGTTTACACCCTTCAAGTGATCCGGTGAATTTAAGGGAGAAGGCTCCTCCGAGAGGAACAGAAACCTTCTGCCCATGTTCACCGGAACATTTGGAATTTGAAAAAGATCTAGACTTCAGTCTTTCTAGACTTGAGGGCTCTTGAGCTCCTTCACATGGCCCGTGAAGTCTAAATGTGCAGCCTCTGCACCAGTGGATATAATGTTTACAAAAGCCAGCCTGGTGGTGTAAGAAAAAGACAGTGTTTTCTAATTTAATTGCTTTGAGCATGTCTCTTTTGAAATTCAGAATATTGGAGATTTGCTTTACATTTTCTTTTTTTCTTTAAGTGCTTCCATTTGTGAACTAAGTCTCCCCCGCTAGGCCAGTGGCCATGATTCCGTAAAGTTTGGTGGGAGTCAGCTGTATGTGTTAACTTGAACATCTTGTTTTGATTCATTTGGTTGGTTTCAGGTAATCCTGACCTCCTCTGATTTTAATGGAACTGCATTACTCCCTTTAAGTGTCGTTTTATTAAACGGTCACTGCTGCGTGACCTGGGTGAGATCTAACAGGAATTTCCTGTTGAAGAGTTGGGCTTCGTGTAGCTGTCCATCAGACTTGTCACGCTCAGGTGGTTTTAGTTAAAAACCTAGTGTGGTTGGCTTTGGGGAACAGCCAAGGCCTGAGACAGGCCATCAGTGACTTGAGGGAGAGGCCAGGCCAGAGGACAAGGCTGTGCTGTGTGGCTGGTGGTCATCCTCCCAAGTAGGTTTCCCAGAGCAGATGTTTGACTGGGGGGCTCTCTCGTGACCACTCCCCTTGAACACTTAGCTGCAAGTGGAACAGGCCAGTTTTATAAAACCAGTTACAAAACTGCTTTGGATACATGTTGAGACTGAATATTTATTTTCCTAAATTATGCGGTTTATTGGTTCAGCTTGTAAATCTCTAACATAATGTCAGTGTGGGTTTCTTTTTAAGCTTCTTACAGTGATGTGGACATTAAAATTCATGTAATGTGCTAGCCTACTAACTTAAACATGGTTTGTTTTTTCAGACAACTTGATTTTAAGAAGAACGGTACAATGTAAGGTTTCAAGTCTGCCTGATCCAGTTTAAAGCACAAGGGCTAAAAGGATTTTTTTCCCTTAAAAGAAGGATCGGAAAAGAGCAAATGTTTTAAGCTATTGTATTATGTAAACAGAGATCCCACCAAGAAAATGTAAATGTGCTAGATGCCTCTGAGAGTTAGGAAACCCATTCGTGTGCCTGTTTCCTACGAGATCAAGAGAGCTTGATGGACTGCATATGCTTGAGTTACACATTTGGTTTTAAAAACAATTTCATATGGGGAATGTGATTATAACATGAATTTTTTGACATCATAGTGTCTGCTAGCTTGAAGCATAAAAAATGTTAGTGTTCTATTGCATTAAAACACTTCAATAACATGGGCCTACTCAGAATAACAGTTGCTTCTTGGTTGCTGGCTGACTTGACCTGAGTCACTTGACCTAAGTCACCGCTCAAACTCTGTTTTCATAATATGATGGTTTGGGTGTACTCTTCAGAAGACAAGTGTCTGACTTGCAGGAAGCAAGCAAACAGCAGGCGTCGAGCCTTTTGCAAACAAGTTGTCTCTTTGCAATTGTCTGATATATGCACAGCAGCCAGTAGAATTCCCCTTTTTATTTTTTTTTCCCCGCAGACCATCTTGATTCAAAACATCTATCGTAATCCCCAAAACAGTGCACAGACGGCTGACGGCTCACACTGTAAGTCCCACAGTTGGAGAAGTTTTTTTAAGACAATGGTGTTAAAGAGCCCACTCTTAATTGAGACAAACCATGTTGGCTTCTGAGCTGCTGACATAGAGCTGTTGCAAACAGGACACGGTGCCGGAGGTCCTTGGCATTCACAGTAAGAACTTGATACTTGGCTGAGGTCAGCAGGCTGGCCGGGGAGGTCGCTGGCCAGGCCTCTCCCGCCCCGGATGTTTGTTAGCGAGAGGGGTCCGGCTCTGTAACAGCCGAACGTCACCAGCCGGTTATTGGTCTTAACAGTGGCTGAACCCCTGGCAATTATTAAGTTCTTTCTGTGAAATCAAAAACCTTAGGAATATGTAGGAATCAATAAGGTAAGTTGCCCAGTAAGTGTGGGTTTTATTTCACCATTACTATTTTTCCTCTAGGGAGTGGAGATTTCATGATATGTAATTATTGTATTTCTCTAGTCAGTTTATACAGGCACGCTTCTTTCTCAGTTGTTCGTGAAGTTTCCTGTTACAAGAATTGTTTTGGTGATAGCCTGCCGACTGGTCTGCATTCTTAACTGGATTGGAACTTTGAAATGGTGGATTCTTCCAGTCTGTGACAGAAATACAATACTAGCATATCATGGGATCTCTGTTGCACTGAAGTGTTAGGGCGCTCCAGGACAGCCATCAGCTGAGAGAAAACATCACTGCTTCAAAAGAAAATAACTTGCTCTTTTTTCAGCACTGAGTCTTGACTGAAGCGATCGCCACAGGAAACCGGTTAAGTGTTTACATTTAATTTTCCATAATATAAAGTTGTTGCGTTTTGTATTTCAGACCATTGCCCTCTTGAACATTTACCGTAACCCTCAAAACTCTTCCCAGTCTGCTGACGGTTTGCGCTGTAAGTTCATACAAGTTCCTTCCCTGGTTCCCTGGGCTTGCGCGTCAGAGCTCAGTGCCGGCTGCACCTGGTCTGCCGCTGTAGTGTCGAGGACCGCCTTCCACGGAGGGGTCAGAGCTTGTGTTCCCCTGAGCCCGTGGGAGCCTCTGCTGGAGGTTTAACTGCCCACTTAGGAAGGAGCGAGTGCCTAGAGGGTGCCCTTCCCAAGAGCGCGGAGCTGCTGCTCTCCTGGGACCTTGGCCGTCACCCGGGAGAATGTGTGTCCGCTTAAATGGGGGCTCACGTTTTACCCGCTTAAAGTGAAAGTCGCTCTAACTTTAAAATAAATAGTTCTGAATTTTTTTTTCAGATACTATTTCTTACTAGAGTTTTTTTTTCCCTTAAACTCCATTTGAATGGAGATCATGCTTTTCACTGTGAGAGCATTGTCCTGAGTGTGACCCCAGTAGGGCCCTCCTGGTTGCACTGACCTTCAACACCAGTCCTGTGCGGACTCTGATTTCATCAGATATTTTACGTAGGTGTCTCCTGCATTGGGGAAATAAAGGATACTTGGCAGAGAATAGCTCTGGAGTGGGCATTCAGTGGACATCACTCGTTTATGTACCGGGGAATGCTAAAGTCAAGTCATGGATGTGGTATTGATGGGTAGTTTTTAGGGGAGAGTAGAAATAATAACTGTTGAACTCCAGAGTAAATGTAGTCATTTGAGGATAAGCTGAAACAAACATCCTGGACTCGTGTTAAAATCAGAGGGTCCAGACGAAAGGGTAGGTGCTTCTCATTCACCAGTTCGTTTTAAAGCTGTTCTTTAAAAAAACAGATCACAGAATAATACCACGAAGTACCTTTGGTGGCCACGTGCCTGGATCAGATACACCCTTGGCCCAGAGCCCCTCAGTTCGTAGGGTGACCTGCGGTGGGTGAAGCGGTCCTGGCAGCCGCCACCTCCCTGAGCTGGTCCAGACTGGGAGGCCTCGCGGTTCCGTGCTGTGGTGTGTGGCACCCACGTCCGGGGACCGGACTGGTGCGCTTTTCCTGCCAAGACACTAAATGTTTTTTGATGCTAATCTGACCTGATAAGAGAATTTCTTTCCTTGAATCTGATGGTAGCAGGACTTGGTAGCCTTTGGTGTATTGTTTTTTTAAAGAAACAAGATCAATGGGTGAAAGAAACTGTTGCTGTTTGGATGGTTAAGTTACTTTGTAACAGCTCAACCCTGGGGTAGAAGTGAATGAGAAGTAGAGGACTGAGGAACACAGTGGATCGTTCTTTGCCCTGTTTGTTTTCTGGGGGGTGCGCATGCTTTATTGACAGAAGGATGTTGTATTAGTTCTCTGTGTGTATATTTGTGATTCACAGGACTCTTGTTTTACATATGCTACAAAGTAAAAGTTTAGCTGTACTAAATGCTACAGTTCTGGAGTCCAGATTGTATCAATACAAATTAAATGCAATTCTGATTCTACAATTTAGCTACTAGGTTCATCACTACTGGCTCTTTTTAATATAACCTTGTATCTGCAGAAAAATAAACTTTCTACGCTTGGATTAAGCTTAAATATGAATCCCAGTTTAAGAATGTTTCTTTAAGAAAACTGGGTACTTGCAAGTTGTATTTAAAATATACTGAGTGGTGTTAATACTTTAGTTGAATAGCTTTTTTAATCAATCACTCACCTCTGCCTTTCAGGTCATTTTGATTGACTCAAAAAATTTTAACCAGAGTATAGGAGATAAAATATGCCCACTAGGAAGCATTTTAAAACATGAACTTTATATAAGTTATTAAAATAACAGTATTCTGTTTATGTGGTAACAGAATAGAAATATCAGTCCCATGAATACAGCCAATAGTTCAATGGCCACCAAAATTTGATTCTCGGTATTGCTAAGACTTTGAGTGTGTGACTGTTTTCTGTCTTCTCATTTTCCTAATATGGAGAAGGAAATTAATTTTAAACATTAAAATCTGCCCTTTGGAATGGGCTTCTCTTGACTAGCTTTTCTGTTGTTTAGACTTTGGTTTCTACTCAGGGAAGGAGATACACTCATTGTAACTTTTAAATCAAGACGAGCTGTCCGGAGTGGCGTCACCGCACGTGTTCACTGAGCTCTCTTTTGTAAAGTGAGCTGGGTTCCTGAAAGTTCAAAAACAACTAAGATGCAGGGACACACACACACCCCCACCACCACCCCCAATGGCTAGAAAGGGAACTTAAATCATTGCCAGAATCAAAAGATTGAAGTTAGTTTTTACCCTTAGAGGAAAACAGTTTTCAGAGAGCTAGGGCATTGTGGACAGAGCCCATGGCCACAGCCTAGAGCCCTTGGTTGGGGCCCAGAGGAGGCCGCCAGTCCCGGAGGATTCCTTTGAAAGGTGGCTGTTAGCAACAGGCTGTCCGTGCCTCGAAGCTACTGCCAGTCTGGCTGTGTTGGGAATATCAGCTTACTGACACTCCAGCTTTCTGCTTCCTCAGATTTAGGTTCAGAGAGTGTCAGAGTTTGAATGGTAGAATGTAATGAGGATGGGATGTGAATTTGCTAAATCTGTCCACAGAATGGACAAGAGTTCACTTAGTACATGTGAATTATGAAGAATAAACTTGATGAAAACAGTTTGACATCTAAAATAATGCTTTCTTCAACAAAAACCTGTAACTTTCCCTTTATGCAAAAGAGGGCACTCAGATTACTGCGATTGAACTTGGTCATTGTCCTTCTCAGTCTTCACTTTCCATCATTTGGGTTTTAATTGCATCAGAAAGAATAACATTCCGTGCAGCTGATAATTGGTAAAAGAAGTGAGTAGGGAGTGTAGATTTTAATCATCTCCCCTGCCTGATTGCCACCTTTCATTTTAACCTAAGAATGGGAAGGGAAAAAGTCAGTGATTACTTGGCCTGTATCTTAAATCTAAAAAGGAAGAGAATTTTCAATTTAAAAATTTCTTTTGAGAGTCAACCTTTTCCTCATGCTTTCTGAAAGTGTTGGCCCTTTGATGCTGATGAAAACTTGACATGATTTTAATATTTTAATAGCCAGAACTGAGGTGGTCATAAGGGGCTTTTAAAATCTCACCACACTTTAAAACTTTAACAAGTGGCTGTGTGATGCACTGTCTTCAGTCTCCAGTAGAGTGCAGCTCTGTTTTCTCTCTAGATGAGCTGATGTGTGTTACGTAGCAGTTTGAGTTTAAGCACAGAGCTCTGGCGGTCACAGTTCCCAGCTCTAACCAGCAAGCTCTCTTTGTCCACAGGCGCTGTCAGCGATGTCGAGATGCAAGAACATTATGATGAGTTCTTTGAGGTGAGCTAGTGACTGAACCCTGTAGACCTGTTCACCCATCGTATGGGGATTGGGACTTTACTCCGTTAATAAGAATACATACTCATGAGTTCTGTTCTGTTCCTGTTTCATCTATATTGTGATCCTCTAACCCCTGTTCTCCCCTTAGGAGGTTTTCACAGAAATGGAGGAGAAGTATGGGGAGGTGGAGGAGATGAACGTCTGTGACAACCTCGGAGACCACCTCGTGGGGAACGTGTATGTCAAGGTAGGACTGAGGCGGCAGTTAGGGCCGAGGAGTGAGGAGTGCCTGCCTCACCTTAGCTAACAACCCTGAGAGAACAGCCCTGCTCAGACCAGGCTGGAGCGTTAACGCCCTGACCAGCCCTCGTTGGCCGTGGCCCCAGTCCGGCAGCTGGCATGTGGGTTCCGGGAGGGATGGGTGTCTTAGACTATTGGTTAGTGGTTGTGGGACTGTGGAGGAGAAACTGAATTATATGTTTGGTTTCTTTTTCCTTTTTTTTTTTTAAACTTCTCTTGCCTGCATAAATCATAACATTTGTGCTTTTAACCAACCAATTGAATTTGAAAACCAAGGCAGCATGCATGGCATGATCTTGGACGGTTGTAAAAGTAAGTCATCGCTAATAAAGGATGGTCCAGTTTTTAAATTGCTCTCTCATTATGCCACCCGTGTGAGCACGTGATACGTATTTGAATCAGTCACTGAAGATACTTATTACTGAAGTGTGGGTGGTGAGTGGTTCTGCTTTCTCTCTTCAGTTTCGCCGTGAAGAAGACGCGGAAAAGGCTGTGATTGACTTGAACAACCGCTGGTTTAATGGCCAGCCAATCCACGCCGAGCTCTCCCCCGTGACCGACTTCAGAGAAGCCTGCTGCCGCCAGTATGAGATGGGGTAGGTGCGGGCCGGCCCGGGGGAGCGGGCAGGAGAGGCGGGGCTGTGTACCCAGTGTGACCGTTCTGCTCTCCAGGGAGTGCACGCGGGGCGGCTTCTGCAACTTCATGCACCTGAAGCCCATCTCCCGGGAGCTGCGACGGGAGCTGTATGGGCGCCGGCGCAAGAAGTGAGTACTTCTGGGCAGGCTCAGCCCTGGGGCCTTCTCTTCAGCAGGCTCTGCTGGGAATGTAGTGTACACTGTGGGATATAAAAGGCACTCTGAGGGACATTCCACACACGTCTTCCTGCTTGTCAGGTAGAGGTCAGACCTTAGTAACAGGGACCCATCAGGCGGGTGACCATTTAAAAGTAGATTTGTTTGCACAGGATCTTATTCTGTCCGCTACATGTCCGAACTTCTTTTTCCATTGGGGTTTCTTGGGTTTTCTTGGTTTCGGCAGGTCTGTGGGGGGGGGGGTGGGTACTGTCCTGTGAACCAGATTCAGTCAGGCACAGTCTCATGGCCAGTCCCGGTGCTCAGCTGCAGGTGGGTGCTTTTCTCTTAAGCAGAGAAAAGGCCAGGGTGTTGGTGTAACAGTCAGTCTTCCAGCTCAGATTGTGTTCTGGCCCCCAGAGGGGTTCTTATCCCTCTCCTGTTAAACATGTGTTTGGAAATTCACCATTGGTGATCATTTTATTGTCAGCAGAAAAGTGTAGGAGAGAAAGAACCCCATTCTCCCTTCCCCACGGTGGGCTGGTGGGCCCGTTGCTGAGCCGAGAACATCTGAGAGGCTTGGCTCAGGTGGGATGGTGTGCATGCCCCTTCCATTCTGGGTTATGGCTCCCCTGGCCACTTGAGTTGGCTCCACAGGAGAAGGGGCAGAAGGTGTTGTTCCTGTTCAGTCCCCAGCTGCCAGTTTTTACCCCAGACACTTGAATGTCTGAAATCAGGGCACGTGGTACAGTGTCACCTGTGGCTCAGACGGCAGCGTTTGTCCCTTTATCAAGTGTCACTGGTGCTACAAGCCGCCGTGTTAGGTTGCGTGCTGTGGTTTGGGTGCCACGGTTTGTTTCTTGTCCTCTGTTGCAGGCATAGATCGCGGTCCCGCTCCCGGGAGCGTCGCTCTAGGTCCCGAGACCGCGGTCGCGGCGGCGGAGGTGGCGGTGGCGGAGGACGGGAGCGCGACAGGAGGCGGTCGAGAGACCGGGAGCGGTCTGGGCGATTCTGAGCCATGCCATTTTTACCGTATGTCTGCTAGAACGTGTTGTAGTTGATTGACCAAACCAGTTCATAATGGGAATTTTTTTTAAAAAACAACAAAAAAAAACAAAGATGGGTTTCTGAATAAAATTTGTAGTGATACAGTGTTCTTGTGTGACTTATTCCTTGTGCACAGTCCATTTTAAATCTTTTCCTTCACATCATGAGGTGACATACCTTGAGGTGACGGTATTCCACCAGTCACTCTTGGTATAAATGACAGATTTTTAAACTTAGGGAATGAAATAAAACACCTCCCAATTAAGGGGAAATTCTTAGGAGAAAAAGTCAGACTTGTTTCTCATTACCTTCATGTTAACAAATGGTCTTCTCTTCTGAAGCTGTTAGTAGGCTGGGGTAGAAGCTGCCAACGGTGCCGGCTCTTAGAACAGAGCCAGTCCTCGGAGAAGATGCGGTCTGTGGCCCCTGCAGGGGTCAGCTCTCATATCGTGAACTTCTAGTGTTGCTCCCAGAGCCACCTTTTGTCCCTGAGACTTGGGGGCATGTAACACGGGGCATGCCCAGGCCCTCGCATTCCCGTTTCAACCTGTCAGTAGCAAGACCACCAGGGTAACAGGAGCACAGCCCTGCCGTCCTATCCGCCTCTGCAGAGCCTTCGTGTCTGCCGTCCCCTCCCCAGGCTTTCGTCATTGACGATGAGGGCAGTGTAACTTGCTGCAGCCATGGACTTGTTCCAGATTCCTGCCATGGCCACACCTCGGCTAGGGACACAGAGTTTGTAAGAGAAAGTCTTAACCCAAAGACTGACCAAAACATTGCTCTGGGTGGTCATCTCAGGGCAGCACACTTCGTCCCTGTGCTTGCCCAAGGCAGTCCTCCAGGCACTCACCCACATGCCGCTCGGTGACAGGAGTTCACGGGGTGTCCCGTCTGATCCCCTTAGATCCTGTTCATGGGAGGTCTGCCAGGAAATACGCTACTTCAATCAGTTTGCTTCATCAATTTTTATTTGATTGTAAAAAAGCGATTCTAGTGGCTGATAGTTTTGTTCAAGTTTGCAGTCTTAAAATGACTATTTTTTTCATAATAGAGGATTTTGGATAAATTAGTGGCACTTTGACTAGGTAGTCTAGGAAGTTTTAAGTCATCTTAATTTTTCTTCTAAGAAACTAAACACCAGTACTTCAGAGCTTCTCTGAGTTTGGTCAGAGTTGTAGAAGTACTGCCACTGCCACTCCATCTGAAAGAGGGAATGTGGTCGAGTTTAACTTGTATTAACTTTGAGTCCCCTTTTCTCGTGAAAGGAAATAAATGTAAGCGAAAATTCCATCCACAGTGTCTTGAAAATGTCACTGAAGTGAGAAGAACTCACTAAGTAAAGGAAAAAGAGGCCTGCTGCCCGCCCTCCACACCCTAGTGAAAGTCACATGAGGAGCAGTTTGGGCCCAAAGCTGCCCCCACATGCTGCTGGTTTTGGCGTGTTCAGGACCCAGTCGAAAGAGACGATCAGTAGAGAAGCCGGAAAGGAGGATGGGTCCCAGGTCCAAGGGAATTTTCATTTAAATTTAAAGAAAACAACCATTTGAAATAACTGATGTATTAATAGTGCATTAGATCTGATAGAGTGCCTGAAGAATGGACAGAGGTTTGTGACATTGTATAGAAGGCAGTGATCAAGACCATCCCCAAAAAGAAAAAATGCAAAAAGGCACAATGGTTGTCTGAAGAGGCTTTACAAATAGGTGAGAAAAGAGAAGCTAAAGGCAAAGGAGAAAAGGAAAGATACACCCATCTAAATGCAGAGTTCCAAAGAATAGCAGGAGAGATAAGAAAGCCTTCCTCAGTGATCAATGCAAAGAAATAGAGGAAAACAGAATGGAAATGACTGGAGATCTCTTCAAGAAAATTAGAGATACCAAGGAAACATTTCGTGCAAAGATGGGCACAATAAAAAACAGAAGTGGTATGGACCTAAGAGAAGCAGAAGATACTAAGAAGAGGTGGCAAGAATACACAGAACTACAAAAAAGATCTTTATGACCCAGATAACCACGGTGGTATGATCACTCACCTAGAGCCAGACATCCTGGAATGCGAAGTCAAGTGGGCCTTAGGAAGCATCACTACGAAAAAAGCTAGTGGAGGAGATGGAATTCCAGTTGAGTTATTTCAATCCTAAAAGATGAAGGTGTTAAAGTGCTGCATTCAATATGCCTGCAAATTTGGAAAACAGCAGTGGCCACAGGACTGGAAAAGGTCAGTTTTCATTCCAATCCTAAAGAAAGGTAATCCCAAAGAAGGTTCAAACTACCACACAGTTGCACTTATCTCACACTAGTAAAGTAATGCTCAAAATTCTCCAAGCTAGGCTTCAATAGTATGTGAACCATGAACTTCCAGATGTTCAAGCTGGATTTAGAAAAGGCAGAAGAACCAGAGATCAAATTGCCAACATCCGTTGGATCATAGAAAAAGCAAGAGAGTTCCAGAAAAACATCTGCTTTATTGACTCGACCAAAGCCTTTGACTGTGGATCACAACAAACTGTGGAAAATTCTTCAAGAGATGGGAATACTAGATCATCTTACCTGCCTCCTGGGAAACCTGTATGCAGGTCAAGAAGCAGCAGTTAGAATGGGGCATGGAACAACAGACTGGCTCCAGATTAGGAAAGGAGTACAAGGCTGTATATTGTCACTGCTTGTTTAACTTCTATGCATAGTACATCATGTGAAATGCTGGGCTGGATGAAGCACAAGCTGGAATCAAGATTGCCAGGAGAAATAGCAATAACCTCAGGCAGATGGCACCACCCTTATGACAGAAAGTGAAGAGGAACTGAAGAGCCTCCTGATGAAAGGAGAGTGAAAAAATTTGCTTAAAACTCAACACTCAGAAAACTAAGATCATGGCATCCAGTCCCATCACTTCGTGGCAAATAGATGGGGAAACAATGGAAACAGTGAGAGACTTTGTTTTCTTGGGCTTGAAAATCACTGCAGATGGTGACTAGCCATGAAATTAAAAGACGCTCCTTGGAAGAAAAGCTCTGACCAACCTAGACAGCATATTAAAAAGCAGAGACACTACTTTGCCGACAAAGGTCCATCTAGTCAAAGCAATGGTTTTTCCAGTAGTCATGTATGGATGTGAGGGTTGGATCATAAAGAAAGCTGAGCACTGAAGAATTGATGCTTTTGAACTGTGGTGTTGGAGAAGACTCTTGAGAGTCCCTTGAACTGCAAGGAGATGAAATTGATAAGGAAATCAGTCCTAAATATTCGTTGGAAGGACAGATGGCTGAAGCTGAAGCTTGAACAATTTGGCCACCTAATGGGAAGAACTGACTCATTGGAAAAGACCCTGATGCTGGGAAAGATTGAAGGCGTAGGGAGAAGGGGACAACAGAGGATGAGATGGTTGGGTGGCATCACCGACTCGATGGACGTGAGTTTGAGCAAGCTCCGGGAGTTGGTGGTGGACAGGGAAGCCTGGCGTGCTGCAGTCCATGGGGTCACAGAGGGTCAGACATGACCGAGGGACTGAACTGAACTGCTCTGTTGATTAGAGAAAACTCACTTCTTTTGAACGCGACAACACTGGAGAAAGGATTGCTGGTGGGGTCCCTGCAGTACCACTTCCTCCTTTCTTAGTTTAGGAGTTCTTACCAAAAAGGGGTGAAACAGCAAATGAGTTTTTTTAAAAAGTCTATGCAAAACACAGAAAACTGGTATTAGAAATGTGTTTCCAAAGCCTTTGTGATGCATTTCCAAGCTCATTGACCCAAACTGGTGCTGCTTATTTTTCTATCAGAAAATGAACAACTTCCAAATTCTTCACATGAAATGAGTATGATACTGATAAAACCTCACAGATGGAACACACACAGAAAACTATAGGGGAGTCTCAGTTCTAAATAGAGATGTAAAAGTCCTAAATAAAATAGTGGCAAACAATCTAGCAGCACATTAAACATGCTAAATTAAGTGGGATTTAGTCTGGGAATTAAGGATGAATGATAACAAATATTTTATTTGTTCTAAGTTTTCTTAGGAGACTCGCATTCACATTTGTGTTGTATCCCTTAGCCAGCTCAAGCACTGTATTTTTCATGAGCTGCGTGATGCCTACAGCACAATATTTCGGAAACAGTTACGAGGTTATGAGCCCCCAAGTAGGTCCTGCCCAGTCAAGAAGAAGCTGCATGGGCCAATGCCCAGCCCAGCCTCCTGGCCACAGAGTTCCTGCTCCCTCCTGGAGGAGATGGGCATCTCGACATATGGCCATGGTCTTGCTTTATTACCTTAAAAACTCTACATAGATATGAAGCAATTCAGACAGAGAAACACAAATATATGACATCATATATTTGACATAGACATGTGGAGTCTAAAAAAATAGTACAAATGAATGTATTTACAAAACAAATAGAAAACAAACTTCCAGTTACCAAAATGGAAAAATGTTGAGGGAGGGATAAATTGAGAGTTTAGAGTTTAGATATAAAATACTACATATAAAATAGATAACCATACGGCAGAAACCAAAACAGTATTGTACAGCAATTATCTTCCAATTAAAATATATTAAAAATTTTTAAATGCTGCTAAGAACAAGCATGAAAAAAAGATAACCAACAAGGACCTACTCGACAGCACAGGGAACTGTATTCAATACCAGTAATAACCTATGATGGAAAAGAATCTGGAAAAGTATATACATACACACACATATAGGTGGAAGTAGTGACAGATTCCTCTTCTTGGGCTGTAAAACCACTGCAGACAGTGCTTGCAGCCATGAAATCAGAAGACGATTGCTTTTGGCAGGAAAGCTATGACAAACCTAGGCAGTGTGTTGAAAAGACGCTGTCATCAGACATTACTCTGACGGCAAAGGTCCATATAGTCGAGGTTATGGTCTTCCCATAGGACACTGAAAGATGAACTCCCCAGGTCAGTAGTCCCAATATGCTACTGGAGAAGAGTGAAGAAATAACTCCAGAAA